ACTGGTATAAACCTTCCCGGTAAATAACTGCTAGAAGGCGCAAAATAACCTTTTGAACCCTCTTGAGGAATTTGCCTTCTCGTTCCAGTGGATCGATACAAGAAACCAGTAGTATCGTGCAAGAAGCCAACCCAACAGGAGTAAACTCTGCACATTCATTTTTTTTTTTTTTTGCTTTGAAAGCGTAAACAAATAGTAAAGGTGGCGATTTTGTTTTTTGTTTTTTAAATTTTTCATGCATTCTCCTCCACGAAATAATAAAATACGACGTTGGGGGAAATGATGCAAGGGGCTTGCATTTCGGGTCCCAATTAAAATAATAAACAGAACTTTACTGTACAGGCAGTCGGCTTATAAATCGTTCATTTAGTGACCGTTCAAAGTTGCAACGGCACTGTAAAAAGGGACTTACGGCCGTTTTTCACACTTACGGCCGCTGCAGCCTCCCCGGGGTCACGTGATCAAAAGTCAGAGGCTTGGCAACTGGCATGTATCTATGACGGTTGCAGCGTCCCTGGGATCACGTGATCCCCTTTTGCCACTTTCTGAGCAGCAAAGTCAGTGGGGGAAGCCGGGTTACTAACTTAAATTAACTGTAGTGATTCGCTTAAGAAACATGTTGAGAAAGATCGCAAAAGGGGGCAAAACCCACTTAACAAATGTCTCGCTTAGCAACAAGGCTCCATTGTGGTGGTAAGTCAAGGACTACAGTACCAGTAATTCTAAACAAGAATAACAACATGGGCAACTGATTTGCCTCAAAGCATTAGCCTCAAATATGACATCTCGTTATAACTACAGGTCTGGTTTTTAATCTAGAGCCCCCGGGGCCTTCTTAATAAAAACCAAAGGAATCAGGGTGAGCTTAGTTTTTGCAGGGCGAACTAAATTTGAGAGCTCAGTTTATAGATTAAAGAGTTCTCCGGCTCTTTAAGTACAGTATTAGAGAGGGTTTTGCTGTTCAAACACAAATCCTTCTCTGAAAAGTTCACCTTTGTTCCTTAAGACACAACACACCCCCACACACACCTGAAAAGACAGTTGCTAGCCACCTATTGACAACAATCCAGGAGGCACGAGGTTGCTAGTGTTAAATTCTGTTCTGATTCCTTACAACAGCACCTTAACTAAATCGATTAATTTGTTTTAAAAAAAGCTTGCAGCAATGCAATAGTCCAGAGATGCACATTTTAAAAAGGCCCTTGCAGAGGGAGGTGTAGTTCTAATATTGAATTGAATTAAGGCCCCTTGGTTTAGGTTCTCCTGCTTGAGCAGGGGGCTGGACTAGAAGACCTCCAAGGTTCCTTCTAGCTTCTATTCTATTCTATTCTATTCTTGATAACATGTCTGTAAGATTTTTTTTTTTTTGTCCTCCTCCCGTTCAATTGTGTCCGATTCTCGGAGACTTGTGCCTGGACTGGTCCCTGCAATTTTCTTGGCAAGGTTTTTTGGAAGTGGGTTTGCCATTACCTCCATCTTAGGGCTGAGAGAGAGTGACTGGCCCCAGGTCACCCAGCTGGCTTTGTGCCCTAGGCAGTACTAGAACTCTCGGTCTCCCAGTTTCCAAGACTGAAGCCTTCACCCCTTCACCAGGTGGGTGCAGCCTTGGCGACTTTTAAGATTTGTGGACTTCAGCTCCCAGAATTCCCCAGCCAGCCAGCCATGGGGAATTCTGGGAGTTGAAGTCCACAAATCTTACAATTGCCAAGGTTGACAAACATCGCATTATGGTGAACTAGGGTAAACAAAAGGTGCCCCAGTAGTTGTCAGGAAACTTAACCCAGTAAGTTTCAAATTCCCCTCTAGACATATTTTCATTCTTTTAAAAGTATGGGTGAAGAATGTTGCATAATGGAGATAAATATTTTCTGATATGAAGCCAATAAAGGGAGGGTCACATGTTAAGTCAACCGGCACTTGGCTCCGTAAGGAGAAAGGCATCACCAAGCGATGGCAAACATAATTTATTTCCTTTTAGAGCTCTCTCTGTACCCCTGGGACTTTGGGAAATTTTGTTATGATTACCCATCTTGGAATTTATACAGCTTATGGAGAGATCGGGGTACTTCCCGGGGAGAGTAGCCCATCCTTCTGTCCTTGCAGAGAATAAAGAAAGTGGTATATGAATAACAGGCTAAGAATCGGAAGGGACCTTGGAGGTCTTCTAGTCCAACCCCCTGCTCAATCAGGAATCGTGAGATATTCAAGCTCTGTCGCCAAGGGGGAAACCACGTTTTTTTTTTCCCAAATCCAAAACGGCCAAAAAATGTTGAGAAATGTTTTTTTTTAATTCACTGGAGTGTAAGGATATGAATAACAGAAAAAAGAGTTGGGAGGGACCTTGGAGGTCTTCTAGTCTGACCCCCAGCTCAAGCAGGAATATGGAGATATGCACATTCTGTTGCCAAGTGGGACAACCCTTTTTTTAAAAGTCCAGAATGTCCCCCCAAAATGTTCAGAACGGCTCTTTGATTCACTGGCGTATAAGGAGATTTGACAAACAGATCGATCATATTCCGTGATTACAGCCAATCTCGATAAAAGTTTTTAGTTTCTCTATTAGGTGGATCTGCTTTGCTTAATGGGACTTCAGAGTCCTACCAATCTTTTCTGCCTGACTCAAAATCGTCCGTGAAGCCCTTGGTGCTTTCTGAGCTTGGTGGTTTTATTGCAGACATTTCATCACCACACCAAGCAATGTCATCAGTGCGTGTTGATAATTATCTCCTATTTTTTTAAAACCCCTTACCTTACCAGGGGCGGGTCCCCTGGACTGCAAGGCGATCAAACTGGTCAGTCCTAGAGGAGATCAACCCCAACTGCTCCTTAGAAGGCCAGATCCTGAAGATGAAACTCAAGTACTTTGGCCACCTAATGAGAAGGAAGGACTCACTGGAGAAGAACCTGATGCTGGGAAAGATGGAGGGCCAGAGAAGAATGGGACGACAGAGAATGAGGTGGCTGGATGGAGTCACTGAAGCAGGAGGTGTGAGCTTAAAGGGACTCCAGAAGATGGTAGAAGTCAGGAAGGCCTGGAGGAACATTGTCCATGGGGTTGCGATGGATCGGACACGACTTCGCAACTAACAACAACCTTATCAGGGAGTCTAGACCAGGGTTTCTCAGCTTTGGCAACTTGAAAAGGTGCAGATTCAACATCCAGAATTCCCCAGCCAGTGTGAATGATGGGTGAATTCTGGGAGTTGAAGTCCACACATCTTCCAAATTGCCAGGGTCAAAAAAAAAAGAAAGAAGAAGGTCTAGAAAATAAAAGTAGATTTTTCCTGGCAGCGTTTAAACTTACTGTCCTAAAGTCCTTAAACAAAATTACTGTCTGCTGCATGAATACCTCTGCCCCACCTTTAGCTTGCCTGGTTAAGCAAGTTGTGTTGATGCAAACAACTGTTCCATGATGTGCCAGCCCCTGTCAAGCTTAAATATTGTCGGTTGGATTTTTCTAAGGAGCAAATATGTCAGCCATTCCATCATAATGTCCCTGTCAGTAAATGTCCCAAGGAGAACTTGCAGAGATCTGGGTGGCTTAAGCACTTTCGAATCTAAGTTCTGTTGACCTTGAGCCATGGAACTTGGGTAACCCCATCGAACCACTGTTTTGTGTCAGAGGATAGAAAGAAGCAGGGAAGACCACAGAGCCTTCTTAAATAATGTAATATAAAACCACAGAAGGGAGGTTTTTTTTTTTTTTTAATTTCTGCTCAGGCAACCTCCTCATTTGAGTAGATGAAAGATTAGGCCAGCACATGTGGAGGCCAAATGGCACTTCAGAATATATGTGAATGTTTGCAAGATGCAGCTTCAAAGGGTCAGCCCTGGATAACCCCGCCACTTCTGACAGATTTAGCGGGACACCTTGATAAATGTACACAAGTGGGAGGCTAGAATAGGCTACGTTTCCCAGTTCTCTGGGCCTCCATCCTTCTGGAGACCCTGACATTTGGAGGATCTACAAAATAAACACTCTGGAGAATCAGCAGAGCTCCTTTTGACTTTTCATTCGCCTCTTATCGTAGTTTGGCCTGCAGAATTAGCAGGGGTGGACCTGAACGTTGGCGTCTGTCAACAGAGCAGGGAAATGCAAATCCAGAAATAAACAGAGGCCCCGATACCCCAAGAAGGATTGCCTGAGCAAGTCTGACATAAGCAGAAGAGGTCATTGAAAGGGGAAGAGGAAAAATGCTTGGATTTTTCTGGAGAAGATGCAACTTAAAAGCCAGTCGTACAGTCATTGGAAAAACCTTAGGACAGGGGTTCCAAAACTTGGGACTTTCCAGATGTTTGGACTTCTCATTTGTTATTTAAAAAGAAATAATAAAGATGGGATAAAAAATAAGCAAATAAAAATAAATAAAATAGTCCTTGAGTTATGATCATTCCATTGCTGGAAGAATAACAAAATAACAGAGTTGGAAGGGACCTTGGAGGTCTTCTAGTCCAACCCTCAGCTCAAGCAGAAAACCCTATATCATTAGGAACAAACAGTTGTCCAGTCTCTTCTTAAAAACCTCCAGTGTTGGAGCACCCACAACTTCTGGAGGCAGGTTGTTCCACTGGTTAATCGTTCTAACTGTCAGGAAGTTTCTCCTTAGTTCTAAATTGCTTCTCTCCTGGATTAGTTTCCATCCATTGCTTCTTCTCCTGCAGTCTGATGCTTTGGAGAATAGCTTGACTCCCTCTTCTCTGGGGCAGCCCCTGAGATATTGGAAGGCTGCTATCCTGTCCATCCTTCTCTTCATTAAACCAGACATACCCAATTCCAGCAACCGTTCCTCATATGTTTTATCCTCCAGTCCCCTGATCATCTTGGTTGCTCTTCTCCGCACTCTTGTTGTTATTGTATTATTATTGTTAAATGTGGCAAGAAAAGTCCTAAAATGGGGCAAGCAAAACTCGCGTAACAAATTTCTCACTTAGCAACGTAAATGTTGGGCTCAGTTGTCGTCGTAAGTCAAGGAACATCTGTATACATGTCACTGATGGGAAGGGCAGAGTAGATTCCAGCTTCCTGAAATTGTGTGCTGTTTCTGCCCATGAATATGTGCCTCGTTATCTCGCTATGGCTTAGAGCCAAAGCAAATGAACTTAACCATTATCTTAAGAGTCCTGCCCAAGAGCTTATTTTTTTTCATACATACTCTTTGTTATGAGTAGCACTAATGGATCAAATCTCCCACATCTCAAGGGCAACAGGGAACCTGTTTATACAGTCCTTGCTTTCTCTCTGTCTTTCGCTGTTGACTTGCAAACGTTTGATTACCTGACTAGGGAACCTCATCAGTGCTGGGATGGTGTTGTTGGTGCTTTGCAGTGATGGGGATTGTTAGATATTGACGATGTTACCTAGTTGGGAATTAAACCTCTCCCAAAAAAATACAATCAAGGAGCACTAAGGAAGCCACAATCCTCCTCCTCCTCCTCCACTCTGCAAACCCCACTTAATCTTCTAACACTGATGATGTTACCTAGTTGGGTAATGAAACATCTTCAAGAAAACAACTGCGCTCAGAGAGCAGAAAGGACCTCATAATTCAACCCCAAGCTATATAGTCTCTTTAGTTGGATGGAATTGCCTTTAACAGAGGGCTACTAAAAAGTATCTGGGTTGCCACTAGATGGCGGCATTGATTCTTTCTGTAGCCTTCTTAGGCCATCTATTGGCTCTCTGTGGAAAAGCAGGCAGAGTTTGGGGGCAGAGTTAAGTATGTCATCAGCTTGCACTGGCTGGGGAATTCTGGGAGTTGAAGTCCACCCACCTTAAAAGTTGCCCAGGTTGAAGAACATTGCTCTAAGTCCTTTGATGGCCTATTCTCCCAAACGTCCCTTTGTAGAACAAGCACCTGCCTTGTCTCAGTAGCACCACCGGTTCCTGGCCTAGGGAGGTGCTCGAAACACTTGTCATTGTAAGTGCTCTTCCCACGCTATCAAAGTCCTTGTTTTTTGGCCCCAGGCCTAAGAGATACTTGCCGTAGATAGTGTGCCAGTTCTGGAGATTTCTATGTGCAGATACGGATTACAAGTGCTTACTCTCTTTATTTGTGTTGAGAAGGTGAGGGAGGTTGATCGGATCAACCCCTACTTCTGGGTCCCATTCAAGGTGTTCGTTATCCCTTTTAAAGCCGTTTATTGGCATTGGAACCGGGATGCCCAAGAAACCATCTCATCCGAATTACATTGACCTATCCTACCTGGTCAAGCCGAGTTTGGTTGTTGACTTGCCGACGTTTCCAATTACAGATTTGGAAGGGACCTTGGAGGTCTTCTAGTCTAACCTTATGCCCAAGCAGAGGTCTTATGTCATTTCGAACAAATGGCTCTCCAGTCGTTTCTTGAAAACCTCCAGTGATGGAGCACCCACAACTTCTGGAGGCGAGTTGTTCCACTGAACGACTGTCCTCACTGTTAGGAAATTTCTCCTAATTTTAGGTGAGATCTCTCTTGTTAAGCTTCTGTCCATTATGCCTTGTCTTGCCCGAAGATTGTCACCCCTCAGGTTGACCCATTCTCCAAAGCAAGGGAGGGCATGCTGCATATCTTCTTGGTCAAGGAGTTTCAACTGCCAGGATCTAAGAGGGCCTGCTCAGCTCTGCCCCAGCCCTATGGGACATCTTACCTCCAGAGATGAAGCAAGCCCATCTTCTGGTTTTGTGGAAGAGTGGCAAGTCCTGGTTTTGCCAATTAGCCTGGGGATCTAAAAGTCTGATGCAGCCACGGGGTATCTGGTGGGCCTGAGGACACCCCTATTTCTTCTTAACCTCCCTAGCCTTTGAATTTTTAGCCCAATTTATCTTCAACTCGTAAGTTTGAACTTGTTTTTAAGCTATGCTTTATGCATTTATATGATTTTGTAAAGGTGTTGTAAACCGCCTAGAGTCCCTTAAGTGAAATAGTTGGTGTAGAAATATAATAAATAAAATAAAATACTTTAGAAGACTTTCCAACCCAGGTGAGATGTTTTGTTAATGCTAAGAGTTGGGCCTTTTTTTTTTTTTTTTTTGGCCTTTTCATATAATGAAAGACTTTCAAGGTCTTTCATTCATTACCTCAGAGAACACACCAGCTCTTACAAAAAGTGGAGACTTGTAACTCACAAGGCTATTTCATTAAGGAGGACTATTGTGGCCACACCTCATTTGTTAAGCTATAAAAGTAGATTAGCACCACTTCCCTTTCTGAGTAAACATACGGTCTCCTTTGAGTCATGAAGATTGTAAAGAAGCATCCATATTGTTTTCTTATGCTCATACCTCTAACTAATTATATTGATGAGAGTTAAGTTGTTTTATTGGGTTAAGCTGTTTTATCCGGTTGGCCAACCTGTCTTAATCCGGAATAAGAATAGAATAGAATAGAATAGAATAGAATAGAATAGAATAGAATAGAATAGAATAGAATAGAATAGAATTCTTTATTGGCCAAATGTGATTGGACACACAAGGAATTTGTCTATGTACATAAAAGCAGCAAGTGATTAATCATATTCATAATCATAAGATACATTCCTCAGAAATCATAAACTACAATACTTGGTGATAGTCATAGGATACTAAATAAGCAATCAACATAAATCATAATTTATAAGAACACAGAATAATTTCTATGTTCCATTCTTCACAGAGTCATTTCCATAAGTTGGAATTTCTTGTTTCAACGCCATCAATGTTAGGTCAAAGCTATGTCCTCCCCCCCCCCCCCCGCTGGATGGTGGGGTTTCACGATCAGAAACCATTTCTCAAAGCCACAGGTACCTTTCCCTAACCCCACCCAAAGTGAAAACTCCATGCCTATCTCCTGCCAAAGAAACACACCCGCTGTATGAATCAGACTTTTTTTTTTTCCCAAGGATGCCAAACCAGCATGGGAAAAGGGACTTGACTCACAAGTCATGGGACGGGACGGATCCTGCTGCTGTCTTTCCAGGCAGAAAGCTGAAGAGGTTTAAAATCTGCAAGAAAAGGGACTCCGGAGATGATAGAGAATTTGGAGGGAAATTGAAAAAAGTTGAGGACCAAGCAGGCTAGACAGAAAAGGCTGGGCTCATGAAGGCATGATGAAAGAGAGAGAGAGAGAGAGAGACACACACACATGGAGGGAGGGAGGGAAGGGAGAGAGAGGGAGGGAGGGAAGGGAGAGAAAGAGGGAGGGAAGGGAGAAAGAGAGAGAAGGAGGGAGGGAAGGGAGAGAGAGAGAGAGAAAGAAGGAAGGGAGGAAGGGAGGAAGGGGGGAGGGAAGAGAGGGAGAGGGGGAGAGAGAGAGAGGGAGGGAGGGAAGGGAGAGAAAGAGAAAGAAGGAAGGGAGGGAGGGAGAGAGAGAGAGAGAGAGAGGGAGAGAGAAATTGGTTTGGTTTAAGAACTTCTGCTTTAAGCAAAGGCCAAACCCTGATTTGTTTTCCATGTGTTCAGGCACGGATGGTTTACACAGAGAACAGCCTGAGTTCTAAGCTCCAGTTAAAAACGAGCATTTCAAGCAATACAGTAGTCCTCAAGTTAGAACAATCGGGACCAGAATTTTCACTGCGGCTAAGCCAGGGAGTTTTTAAGCGAGGCACACCTCGTTTTTATAACTTTTTCTTGCCACGTTTAAGTGACACTGCAGCGGTTTAGTAAATCCTATGGTGGTTAAGCAAATCTGGCTTTCCCCAATGACTTTGCTTGGGGGAAGCTGGGTGGGAAGGTCATAAATTGTGATCGGGTGACCACAAGACACCGCCACCCTCACAAATACATGCCTGTTGCCAAGCGCCCAAATTTTGATTGCGTGACCGTGGGGATGCTGCAACGGATAAAAAAAATGCAGGGAGCAGTCCTAATGATTTTTTTTTCCAGGGCCGTCCTAACTTCCAACAATTGTTAAAAGAATGATTGTGGCTTTTGATCCTGGAGAGCCACTACCGGCCAAGGTGACAGGAGCTTAACCTAGAAGACCTAGAGTCTGTTTGTGTTCACACGTGCGTTTGTACCTAATGGGATGTAGAGAACACTCTTGCCCTGATTGATGGAAACAACCTCAAAGGTCATCTAGGCTGACCTTTTCCCACCTGGAATCTGCCAAGAGAGTGAAAGCATCTTCCTTCTAAGTTCCCCGAGTCTGCTTGCTTGGTAGCCACCCCGGAGAAGTGTCCTTGACAGCTATGGAGAACGATAGCAAAGCGGCAGGATTTGTGCCAGGGCAAAATGGTGGCAGAATTTCTGTGGTCACTCTGTTCATAAATAATAAGGCAGGCCTGGAAGACAATACGGTGTGCATTTCTGCTTTGGTTTATCCAAGTTCTTTCTCTCCTGACCTTGGGACCTCTTCTTGTTTTTTCCCCCCAGAATGCAACCCTGAGGGCTCATTTCTAAGTCTAGGTAAAGGAAAAAGAACTTGGAGCACATCCTGGTAGAAATAAGAGAAGATAGCTTGGTACAGTGGCTTGGTTTAAACAGCAGGCTAAGACATGGTTTTCAACCTCGGCAACTTTAAGATGGGTGGACTTCAACTCCCAGAATTCCCCAGCCAGCATTGACTCTAGGTAAATGGAAAACAACTTGCAGAGCATGCTGATAGAAAAAAAAAAAAGAAACATAGGCTTAGAAGGGACATTAGAGGTCTTCTAGTCCATCCCTCTGCTCAAGTAGGAGATCTTATACCATCCTGGACAGGAGATGGACAAATACTTGTCCGATCTTTTCTTGAAAACCCCCGATCATGAATATATCTTGATTTTATTTTCCTCCATCAGGAGAAATTCTTTAAAAAAAAAAAAGAACACAGGCTTCTGAGCATCTGCAGAGTGTCTTTTAGGAGGAAGCTCCTTCTGAATTCCCCTGATCCCTTCCAATCTTTGTGTGTTTGCTGTGAAGAAGAGGTGATTTAAATCTCTTTGGCTAGTTTAGTTCACTGAATAAATCCCAGTTGATGATTTTCCAGATTTGCTTGCTTATAAATCCTTTCAACTGTAATCAGCACAGCTCAGGTGTGTCAGACTACAACTCCCAGATTCCCATCATCCTCAGTCAATGGTGTACTCTTCCAAGTCTAGGGAACTACAACTCCCATCTTCTCCAGCTAAGAACCAATTGGAACTGTAGTCCGATCTACATCTAATTGGGGAAGTTGTCTAGCTTTCCACTCACCTTCTAAATATTGTGAGAAAGGGGAAAAAAGACTCACAAAAGAAACATACACAAACACACCCTATAGCAGAACTATTTTTACCAGCACAATCTCGGACTGGCTATAAAAGTAAATAGCCATCCATACAAAACCAATAGGCAATCCATAAGAAACATGATCAGCAGATCCAAAATGATAGCAGGAAATAAAAAATATCATTGCATAATCCCCAACAATATTAAACAATAAGAAGTGGTATATCCTCACCCCCCCTGCAGAACCACACCAAGTAGCCAACAAATAGCAATAAAGCAATAGCAGTAAACATAAATAGCCCCATTAAAAATGTGCTTTCCTGTGACTTTTCTCTCTCTCTCTCTCTTTAAAAAAAGTCATTTCTTGAACTGCTGCCTTTTTTTAAAAAAAAAAAGTCTATGTCTAACTGCTTTAAAAAGGAGCAAACAAAAAAGGACTTTGAAAAGCGACACAAAAGGGAGAAAAAAAATCACAAAAAAACCCCAGTCTGGGAAATGTTTTATTTTAAAGTAGCAATTCAACACATGGCTTCTTTTTTTTTTTTTTGACACGGAGGAAAAACAAAATCACATGAAAGCAGTTACAGATAGAACTTTTTTTTTTAAAGTAGCACTGCAAGAAAAGACCTTTTCCAAAATAAATAAATAAACAGGACAGAAACCCCAGGAGAGAATTTTTTTTTTTTTTAAAAAAAAGGAGCAATCCAAGAAGTGATCAGCTGTTGTCTTTAAAAAAAAAAAAAAAAAAAACCCAAGAAAGCAGCCACGGTCAGATTTTTGAAAATTATTTATTTTTAAAGGAGCAATGCAAGAAATGACTTTAAAAAAAACAACAAAAAACCTCCAAACTCCCACGAAAGCAGCCAAGGACCGAAGTTTTGCTTTGCAACTTCCCAGCCCATAAAAGAGCAAAAAATTAAGTTTGCTTTGAGTCAGGCTGGGAGGGGAGCAGAGAGGAAAGCCCTCGGCTGGCTGCATTCGGGGGTCCCTTTTTTCCCTCTGGAGGGGGAATAACCCCGGCTTTGGGAGACTGGGGTCCCCCCTCCTCTTCCTCCCTCGCCCCCCCTCACCTTGTAGGTGCTCTCGGTCAGCTTGTTGACCTCTTCGGGACCCCGAGACATGACGGCGGCGGCCAAAGGAGGCGAAGCCGGCGGGCTAAGTGGCTCTAAGCGGGGAGGCGGGCGGCCGGGATGTCCTCGGGACGTGTGAGGCGGAGGATCCGCTGGCCCGGCGACGTTTGGTATGTGGGGGGGGAACGCGAATCGCGCAGCGACGCGAAGACCCTCCTTCCTCGGCGGCGCCCTCCGCGCCAACTGTCAAACTTGCGGAACCGGCCACCTCAGCGGAGGGAGGGGAGGCAGGGGACGGGCGGATCCCTCGGCGCGCGCGGCCCCGCCCACCCCTGAGGTGAGGCAAGGCGAGGCGGGTGGGCGGAGCCGGGCGAGGCCGCTCGCGGAGGGAGGGGCGTCTTCCAGGAGGGAAGAGCCCGGCCGCCGAGCCTCCCTGAGGAGAAGTTTGGACTCCGTCGCTTTCTTCTCCTCCTTTTTTTTTTTTTCCTTCCCCTCGTCTTTTTCTTCCTTTCTTCTCGTCCTCCCCCGCCACCGAGGAGGTCAAGCGTCCTTCGCTTCCTCCTCTCTGAGCGCAGGCAGGGGCTAAGCCGAGCGAAGGTGTATTGGGACGCGGAAAGGAGACCACCAGGAGATGCCCGTCTTGGTTGGCAATGCACGTTTTCTGAGAGCGGCCACACTCCAGGAGAGGTGCTGCCCCTTAGTGGAATTTTAATGCTAAGACACCTTAGGAAGCAACCGGTTTGGGTGGGGTTGTGTGTGTGTGTGTGTGTGTGTGTCCATAGGACAACTTTAGGAAGCAACTAAGGGATGTGGAAAAGATGTGTGTGTCTGTAAGGGGGTAAGTTTTGGGCAATGCCAGAGGAAAAGGGCTAAAAAGCTCCCCCTCTCCGGCCTTATGAATAAAGACACCCCTTTTGCTGCCATTTTTGGACCTTCCCTCATTTGCAATTTGGGGTTTTTAATTGCATTATTTAATTGCATCAAATTACTCTTGTGTTAGTTTCACTTTGGAGCGGCCCTCCTCCCCTCCCGCCAGGCTTTTTAGTTTATTTATACTTAGAATTTATTTATTTATCAGAGGACCAGCCTTTGTAACCGAATACAATGTGTCAAGAGGGAGATTTGGATATGTCTTATTTCTCTAAATCAGTGTTTTTGTTTTTGTTTTCCTTGCATTTTCTTACCCCTGAAGACAGAGGGGCAAGCCAGAACCAAGCCAAACCAGCATTGTGTGAAAAAGGCAACGTGGACAGAGCTGGTTTAAGAACAGAGTGGTTTGCAAGAATTACCTTTAACTGGCCCTGTGGATCAGAAATCTTGCAGGAAAAAAAAGGAAGGCTGCTTGTGACGGGTTGCAAACTGGATTGAGACAATCAAGCACAAATTCCAGAGGGCTTCTTGTGTTAGCTTTTCTCACAAACCACCTGAAACACAAACAGGTTTATGATGGTGGCAGCAGCAGCTTCCCAGGGCTGGAGTCTGTTTGTCAGGCTGCAAACAGTAGCACCTTGTTTGTAGCAACTCCCAAACCCCTGAATTCAGTGGCTGAGTTCTCACAACTCTTTTACCCGTGCGTGATAAAACCTCGGCTGATGTACGTTGCTTCACCTGTAAATTGAGCTGTGTAGATGCAACAAACTAGGATGTATTTAGGCTATCTGTGGTCTGATCGGCCACCAGCCAGGCATTATTAAATAAATTACTGTTAGACAAACCCTGACTTGGTGTACAACGTATGAATTCAGACCTGGACTCTTTTACTCACATGCTGGAAGATTTTAAAGTGCAGCCAAGCGATTACCTCACCATATAAGTAGTCCTAGCCTTAACAGCAGTTTGTTTAGTGACCGTTCAAAGTTACGACGGCACTGAAAAAAATGTGACTTATGACCACTTTTTCACAGTAACAACTTTTGCAGCGTCCCCAGGGTCATGTGATCAAAGTTCAGATGCTTGGCCACTGGTTCATACTTATGACCGTTGCTGTGTCCCCAAATTGTGTGATTCCCCTTGTGTGACCTTCTGACCTGCAAAGGCAGTGGAGTTATTCTCTTAACAACGATGGCAAGAAGGATCGTGAAAAGGGGAAAAAGTCACTTACAAATGTCTCACTTAGCCACAGAAACTTTGGGCTCAATTGTCGTAAGTCGAGGACTACCTGTATTTGAGATAATTTTAGCAGCTGAGATTCTCTTTTTTGCAAAAGCTGCTATGGAATCTTGAGGATTTGCCCAGCCTGGTTGTGTGTGTTGACAGTAACAACAGCAGCAAAATGATGTGTGTTGCTGTTTAGGAGTTCATGCTGAACTTGCCTTGGAAAGTTAGCTGTCAAGCTGCAGAGGCCTGGTTGTTCTCTTCACTATTGTCTATTGGGGCTGTGTGTGCTTCTAAAGTCTGTGTGTGTGTGTGTGTGTGTGTGTGTGTGTGTGTGTGTGTGTACTGTATGTTCTCCTGGTGGAGGACTTGCCATCGATCTATGACTCAGTCAGGCTGCTCCGGAGAGACGTTCTGTCTCCCCGTGTTTTTCAGGAGAGAGATCGTGCGTTCAGAGGTGAGCAACTTGTACAGTCCTGAGCAGTGAAGTGTTAGCTCAACGTTGTGAACCAAGCAAGTGTGAAGGACAATGCACACTGCACCTGCAGAGGGGCCAACAGCCTGAACGATCCATCACAGAATCCACAATTAGACTCTAACCTCTGCCGTGTATTCACCAAGGCAGATAAGTTCCTAAAAGATACAACTCTGAGAATCCCTGTTGTTTTGGGGAAAAAAATAACAAACAGTCTTATTTTTAAAGTGTGTGTGTGTGTGTATGTGTGTGTATGGTGGTGGTGGGGGGAGGAAGTTGTGGCTCAGTCCTAAAGCAACCACATTTGAATTACAGTCTCCTCTTTGCCTCATATGGAGGGGGAGAAAACATCCCGTCAAAATTTGTATGGCGTTGTGCTCCCCGCTGTGTGTGTACAAGCCCCAAGGGTTGTTAATCCTATCACAGATGTTGACAATGTCAGAGATAAATACATCCTAAATATATGCCTCTGGCCGGGTGCCCAAATTTTGCTTACCTGATTGCAGGGATGCTGAAGACAAGAAGCAACAGATGGAAGCTCATCCAGGAGAGAAGCAACCTGGAACTAAGGAGAAACTTCCTGACAGTTAGAACAATTAACCAGTGGAACAACCTGCCCCCAGAAGCAGTGAATGCTCCAACACTGGAAGGTTTTGAAGAAAAGACTGGACAGCCATTTGTCTGAAATGGTATAGGGTTTACTGCCTGAGCAGGGGGCTGGACTAGATGACCTCCAAGGTCTAGTCTCTTCTTAAAAACTTCCAGTGGTTTATGACCGTTTTTTCACACGCCTGTCACAGCATCCCCAGGGTCACGTGCTGAAAATTCAGACATCTGGCAACTGACTCATGTTTATGACGGTCGCAGTGTCCTGAAGGGACTGAAAGGATATGACTTGGTCTAGCTAGAATAATAAGATGGTTTGAAGTTAGGTGGGATCTCCAAGATCTTTTATTCCTAAACGAATACGTCCATAAATCTTTGCTTTTCCAAATTTTAGGCACACCTCTTTCCCTGACTGTTGTGACGAATCCCCGGAGGCGTAACCACACAAGTGGACTCAAGACTCTTCCATGGATCTCGGGGAAAGGAGGTAAATTTTTACTTATTTGTTATTCGTTAAATTTATTTGTGGCCTATCTCGTCATGAGGCTACTCTGGGAGGCTTACAATTAAAAAGGAAGAAATGAAAAGAGCGTAAACAGAAGTCAGAGAATAGAACGATAAAAATAAACAGTGAAAAAGAACTCGGTGAGAACACATCGCTATCATAACCAAACAAGGTGGATGGGAGGAGAGCAGAGAATAAGAGTCTGGGGGAGAGGTACGTGTCGGTTTCCAGGAATTGTAAAACAAAATGGTTTCAATGGATCCTTGCACCTTTGTTTTATAACTCCACGGTTGCCTTTCCGGTTTTTCTCTGCTTAAATAAGCCTTGCATTGATGACACCCAAAAGTGACAGGGTGGGCACCTCACCTTGAGCTTTAGCGTTTGTGGACAGAGGGAACTAGAACGGATAAATCAACAGAGCAACACATTGAACGTAGGCACAGGCCAAGGGGGGGCAGTGGGCTATTCTATTTCATCTATTTCCCCTACACCCTTTTTCCTTGAAAATTCTCTGATGCAGGATTCTGAGGTGGTTTCCTATCCTGGCAGTCTATCAAGCGGTTCCCGTTGAGCAGTTAAACTGGTTCTTTGTGGCTTCCTTCAGCTTACCCTGTGGTTTGATTGGCACTTCTCTGTTTGACCTCTGTTTGATGCTTCAGTGAAATCCTTTTGAGGATCAAATGCAATTTCCCTATTTAACTTGTTCTCTTAAATTAGGATGGTGAAATGTTTCAGGGTTGATTTCTCCAGTATTGATTTTTTTTTTTGTTAAAAAAATCCTCATTCTGTATGTTCTTATAAAAAAGGAAATCAAACTACTATTAACAACTATCACCATTATCTCCCTTCTCCTTTTTCCCCTCCCCTCTCTCCCTCCCTCCCTCCCTTTCCTCCTCCTCCTCCTCCTCCTCCTCCTCCTCATCCCCCTCCCCAAATTCAACAGAACAGACTACATTTCATTTGCCTTTTGTATGGCTCAAGGCTATTGGAGGAAGAACAATTGAAATAGCTCTCTTAATTCAGTAGCCCTGAGATTAGTGAAAATACAGAGATTTAAACTTTAAATTTTAGTCTACATTGTGAATTTTGAAGCATCCCCGCTGCTTTCCCACACATTTCTATAATAAGGACCAGGCTATCAGAGTAAAAGGGGGGGGGGGAAGTTCCTAGAATGACTGCCAAATTTTTCTTAGCTCATCTAGCCTTGGTGGTCCAGGTGGGAAAGGTAGAAAAACAGATGTAAATCTGTAAATCCCTTCCAGACTTGATATTTTTACCTTTCATAGATTGGCTTTGCACACCGCAATATGGAATGGGGTGCTTACCCAGCAGATAGGAGGGTGATCTGACTGCAGGACCTGCTACCCCATAGATTAGCAGGGTTGATTCAGCTTATTTTGCTGTCTGTGGGGGCATCCCGTTCTTCCTTCACCACTCCTTGTGTGATTCTCACCTGCCCCCCCCCCCTCCCGCCCCAAACTGCATCCTTGGGAAAAGAATAACTATCCTATTTATCTGTTTATTTTCTGTAAGCTGCCTGTTGGGAAGTTGGTTGGCATATAAATTTAATCAATCTATCAATCCAAGGCCACAGAATAAAACTCCCCAAATGTTTGGTGTGCTGGGAGGTTAGTAAAGCTCAGAGGAGTTATGTTGTGTTTTTCTGCATTGTTTGCTGTTGCTTCTTTTTCAGATTGTAGGTTTTGACATTTATATTATGTTTTTTAAATTTTTAAACTTGAAGGATGATCAGAGTCTCTGGGGTAAGAAGGGCAGAGATAGATAGATAGATAGATAGATAGATAGATAGATAGATAGATAGATAGATAGATAGATAGATAGATAATGGATGGATAGATAGAAAATGGATGGATAGATAGATGGATGGATGAATGGATGGATATAGATAATAGATAGATAGATAGATAGATAGATGATAGATAGATAGAGATAGATAGATAGATATAGATAGATAATACAGACTGATAGATAGATGATAGACAGACAGATAGATACATAGATAATAGACAGACAGACAGACAGACAGACAGATAAGCTATACTTGTATGATTCCCATGTGACACTAACACCAAAACTAACATTGTTACTTATTATGTACAAACCAGATCACTGGGCAGAAAAAAACCCCTGATTTTGACACTAAAATAATGTATTTCAGGGTGAGGGGAAGCAACTAGATTATATATAGATTATATATTATATATATTTTCTATATATTATGGGAAAAAAACAGCATTTCCATTCTTCAACTAGTAGTTGTGGTAGAAAACTCCCTGACATTTATGGATTGCAGCTAAAGTTGGGAAAATCTTTCAGCAAAAAAAAAAAAAAAACAGAAGCCGAGAGCAGAAATAGCCCAGCAAGAGAGTAAACTAACTTCATACAAATCCATTGTGCTAAGTAAAGAAACTTTTTAAAAAAATCCATGACTGAGAAAATGGCGCACTAAAAATACAATTTCCTTTCAAGTGGCTTTAGTTCAGAATTGAAAACACCGAGGAATGTTTTCTCCCTCGTCTTGGAAACATTGCTAAAAGCTCAGTAAGAACTTACTAAAACAATCTGCTGCCTTTTTACAGTTTTGAGGCCAGCCCTTGTGTTTTGAGAAAAAAGCTATTTATTTCGCAACTTCAGATGTGAGCACAATTTTGATGATTAAATGAAACTCAGGAAGATATTTTTTATGCAGAATGTTTGGGCATAATTTATATCGTGTTTGTATATTTAAAATGCACCCTTGAATAATAATTTATCGTACTGCGCTGATTGTTTTTTAAGAGTCTCTGGAGTAATAAAGTTTAATTTTTTTAAATATTTAAAACATCCAGCTCCTTGCGGCACGCAAAGCAAATCTTTAATTCAAATGGCAAATGTGTCTGGAATTGCTGAATTAAGTGCTTGTGGATGTATCTGTGGTAAAATCAGCCAGCAATGTGTAATTTGTAGTCCAGTGAGTAAAAGCTGCTGTTTTTCCCTGAGACCATGTTCCATTGCTCAAATTTATATTAATAAAAATAATTTAAATTTACTGCTAAATGTATTGATACAATACATAATTTAAATCTGATGAAGTCTTGGTACATAATGAGCTGGATTTAACTGTAGTTGAAAAAAAGGGTGGATAACTATGGTAGTATAGCAACATCAAGAGATACAATAGAAAACAAAGAATTGGAGAAGATAACTAAGAATCAAGATCTGAAAATTGAAGCTGAAAAATTATGGCCTAAACCAACTGTAGTTTAAACAATCCTCCTCCTCTTCTTCTTTGCACACCCCACCCCTTTCTAGCACTGATGCTGATACCTAGTTGGGTCATGAAAGGTCTGCAAGAAAACAACCAAGTTCAGAGAGCACCAAGGATGCCACAATATCCTGATCTACAAATGTTCTCTTCCATCTGTAAATATATTACACATAAACCTTACAATCATTGAGGTTTTGTCCTTGCAAATAATGTGGAAGCACCGAAGATAGCCAGTACATTCCTTCTGACAGCATGAGCTACAGACTGAGACACCAATAAAAAACAGTTCTTTGTATCAAAAATTGCCACGTCCAGCAAAGAGTTGCTGCTTTATTTGAGAAAACATGGACCTGAAGATGCTTAATTTATTTTGGCCGTTCGTTTTCTGTTGCTCTCACTCATGACGAACCTAGGAAAGAAACATCATGGTAGATACAGTAGATGCCAACGTTTCATGCCTTCTTTTTTCATTTGAGAATTATAAAGTCATTCTCATCTTTGAAGAACAGGTGGAAACTTCAACCATTCTTTGCTGAGAGTTGTTGAGAGTTTGGAAAAAATTCAGAGAAGAGTAACTAAAATGATCCAAGGCCTGGAGACTAAAACATACAAAGAACGGCTGCAGAACTTGGGTTTGGCTAGTCTAAAGAAAAGAAGAAATAGGGGAGACATGATAGCAATATTCCAGTATTTGAGGGGCTGCCACCAAGACGAGGGGGTCACGTTATTCTCCAAAGCACCAGTGGAAAGGACGAGAAACCACGGTTGGAAACTGATCAAAGAGAGAAGCAACCTGGAATTAAGGAGAAACCTGCCTCCAGAAGTTGTGGGCACACCATCACTGGAGATTTTTAAGAAGAGACTGGACATTCAGCTGTCTGAGATGGTATAGGTTCTCCTACTTGAGCAGGGGGCTGGACTAGAAGACCTCCAAGGTCCCTTCCAGCTCTATTCTATTCTATTCTATTCTATTCTATTCTATTCTATTCTATTCTATTCTATTCTATTCTATTCTATTCTATTCTATTCATTCTTGAGTTCTTTTGTGATAGAGGATTTGCAAAATTTTAGAATCTTATTATCTTCCTAGGCCACTAGATGGTGAGCAAGCTCTGCAAATGAGGGCCAGAAGGGAGGAACGTCCGTATCCTTGAAATGCATAGGCCATTTGCTTGCTTGCTTTTGCCTAGCAAGCTTTGAGGGAACTTGAGTTGCAACGTACCACTACTCTGTGAAGGGAGTTGTACCTCCACCCCACAAAGCGAACCCCTTCAGCTCTTTAAGCAGCAGGCGTTGTTTCAGAGTGCTTGGGCGCCCCGATAGCCAGCTCCCCAAGTACTGATGGAAGAGAATATTTGTAGTTCAGCATTGGATCTGGTGCTATCTAAGCGTGGTTGCTTTCTTGGAGAAGTTTCATTACCAAACTAGTAACATCCTTTGGGCTCAATTGTGGCCATAACTCAAGGACTACCTGTCGATACAACGAGGCGTCTTCTCTTTATTGCTGATGTGCGCAGCCCTTCAGATTGTTTGGGCCGATCACAAAGTTTTTCTTTTCTTTTTTAAAGCAGAAAGACGTGCAAAGAATCAAAGAACGTAAAAAAAAACCAACCCCAAACCCCATACTGAAAACACACCCAAGAGAAAGAGTGAAGAACTGCATGGGAAAAAGAAAAACCCAGCCCAGGAAACATATCAACATATCAAAGCATTC